TAACAACACATAATTAAAAGCTGTGTTAACATTAGTGTGAGGTCTTTTGTCTGAATGCCTGTGATTCAGCCGTAGGCCAGCAGAGGGCGAACTCAGGCATCGAAGAATCCTGTACTGTTTTTAAACGGGGACTTCCTGTTTTTCATTCAGTGTGTGGTTTGACTTGCCAGCCAGTGGCAAAATAAACCCCCACTCCAGAATTCTGGTGTTATATGACATTTATTTCTTATCACAGATCATTTTATTTAACACTGGTGTTTTCATCTGACTTCAGCTGTTATTGAACACGTATTTTCTTACAATGGTAAAGTTTCAGAGTACAATTTAACTCAAAACAGAGTTAAAAATTAACTCTAACCCTGTACAGTGTTGAGACAACACCGAGGAAGTCAACACTGTGAACTAACACCAACCCTGGATGTCAGTTTAGTCAGAAAGTGTTAAAATGACACTGGGGGAGTTAAATTGTCCCTGAAAAGTTTAACACAGACATTTTAACACTCTGGTTTTTGCTGTGCAGGCTGTGCCAAAAGCCAGGAAGTAAAAATGTGTTTTTAGACAAGTTTTAAAAGAAGTTTTAAAAATTTCTGGTCTTATAAAGTGTGCAGATCTMCAYGCAATCACCTTATTAAATGGAGAACTGTATGGAAATGTATCGCTGTCAATCAAACATTGGGGRCATGACTCAACTGTTTATACTGTTAGTTTGTTTTATATCTCAAAATTGCAGTAAAAAAAATATATTTTTTGTTGCCATTGCACAAAGTCTGAATTTTTTATAGCCAAGTGACCAGTGGACATATTGAGTTACCTTTTTTTTTAAATTACAGCCTGTTTCTGTGTGAARATCTTGCACAACTGCATTCTTGGCCAYRCACRTTATTTTGTTGACGTCGTCASACCCACCATGGCAGCCGTTCYAACATTTTTGATTAAATCCTCTGCMGTACACTTCTGAAATGATTGACAGATTTGGACCAGTTTTTCATTCATTAATAAAAATCATCAGTGTGGGGGGGTTTTAGACTTGCTTTGGACGTTCTCTGTTGCAGCTAGTGCAACCCAGTGAGGTCCTACCTCAGATTAATATAAAATCAGTGTTTTAATCAAACTTACAAATCCACTTAATGTGTTTTTCATCACTGACACAGAGAAAAACCACAGAGACCGCGGAGTGGAAACAAGCAGAAAATGACAGAACCAGTGACGTCAGCTCCGTGGACGACAGCATGAAAACAGGCAGAAGGTTGGTGAACAGACGCTGAATTTCCTCACGTTTGAGACTCGTTCGTCAGAAACTGTTTCTGATTTGTGGTAAAATGTTATTGTTATGAGAAGCAACTAGCGCAACTGTGTTTGCTGCCTGACCGGTTTCACCTGTTCCCCCACGTTTGCCTTGTATGTCTTCTTGAATGGGTGTTTCTTAACTGCCCCCTCCCCCTTCCCTGAATGTACAGCACCTTGTGAATTTATTTCTACGAAAGGCGCTATATAAATAAAACTTTACTTACTTAAACAAATCGGCACACAGAGTTGTAAAGTAACTAAGTACAAATACTTTGTTACTGTACAAATTTTGGTTACTTCAGAAATTATTTTTCAGCCTACTTTTAAGTTCTACTTAAGTTTTCATACAATTATCTGTACTTTTTGCTTTTTTATAATTAAAAMGGTAAGAAGTAGAAAGTTGTTAGTTTTATTTTATTCTGGCTCTTATTGTTAAATAAATACTATCCTGATGAGTTGTGCCTCCTGGATAGACTGAATATAAATATAAACTATTCTGATACAGTATTAGTTTGTACACAATCTATCACAGGTGCACGCCTTTAGAAAAAAACATTTTTGAGAGGTCACCTCCCAATAAAAGAAATTTTGGAAAATCTAGCCGCTCATTTTTACTCAATACTTTTTATTTTTAATACATAAGTATTTTTTATGCCCGAAATTCACTTTTGATACTTAATTACAAAATAAATCGGATACTTTAAGATTTTTACTCAAGTAATATTTTTAGAGGAGACGTTAACTTACAATAAATAAAAAACTTGTACTTTTACTCAAGTAAAACTTTGAGGTACTTTGTACARCACAGCACACAGATGAGTTTCTTTGCCACCCACATATTAAATGCACACACATGCTCACTCATCCTCACATTTATTATAAAAGTTCTAAACCTAGAAGCACATGTTTCTGGTTAAATATTAGTTTTTGTACACGAGAAAGCCTTTTTTGTCTTACGAGCAGGGGTGGAGCTAGACTGTTTTTGCAAGGGGTGGCACTGGGGGGGGGCAAAGTGATTTTAGGGGGGCACATGCAAAGAAAGAATAGAACTCTGGATTTACGAATTCTAGATAGCCGCCACAGCTAATCCTAAACGGCTTTATTTCAGCTGTTTTAAGGAATATTGAGCTGAAATTTTGTGGCGGTAGCTAAGAATGATCAAAAGACACACTGAATGCTAGTCACAGCTTTTTATTCAGCCACTTTTAGACATACAAATCTGAAGATTAGTGTAGAAGTAGACGAAAACTACCTTTACCAAATTTTAACTGCTAAAAATTCAAGATGGGCCACCGCAGCTAACTTTAACAGCTATAATTCATCCATTTATGCTAATCTGAAATTAAGCTAACCACTAATGCTAATTTTACAATGGCTTTATGGAACATACACAGCTGAAAAYGTATATAGTACAGCAGTATCAAAGAACAATCAATTATTTGAGGATGGCACTAGTCACTCCTCTGGCTCCGCCCCCTGATAGTAAAAACTGGTTTGGTCGTCTTGTAGGTTGTGTTTTTGTAACGTTTGGTGAGGAGCTGAAACTRAACTGGTCAGGTTTGGAAGTCTTTTAGGAAATAGTTTTAATATTAAACATTGCTGTGAGGTCTGCAACTCATTTTTACCAAATGTTTATCGTTTTCCTTCACATCTTCTCGTACCCCTGCACCATTCTAAGGGTTTTCTTCCCAAAGTACAAATCAGTTTTTCCAGGATATGATATCGTAAGTGATTAAGCTGGATTAAAACTTCTTTAAATCACTGTGAACTCTGTCGCACTGTCCTTTAGTTTCGTTAAACTCAGGCGGCGGATGTTCTCTGACATCAGTGTCGACTGTTCTCTGACATCAGTGTCTGCGTCTTTCCCTTTCTGTCATCGTCAGTTTGGTGAGTCAGAACAGCAGCCAGACAGAGAGACCCGCTCACGGCGTTCCCAACGGCCAGAAGGTTCCCCCAGCTGTGACCAAACCTGCAACGACTCCAGTCAAGAACCAACAAGAGCCAACAGCTGACAGCAGCAGACCCAGCCGGCCCCCAGGAGAGAGGAGGTGTGTGAGCGGCATCRAAAACAAACGCTCCAGGGGGGCTTTCATTCATGCATTTCTGCAAGCATTGCTCCATTTTTATGTTTGTTTAGAAAAACACGTTGCTCGCATTTTATTTTTGCAAGATTTTCCTTGTTAAATGGTGAAAGCTTTATTAAATATTGACCAGCAGGTGGCGCCTGTTGCTTGTGTTTTCCTCAAGTTACTCTGATTTATAAAGTAAGAAAATAACCTGTGAGATAAAAAATGTTTTCAAGACGATCATTCAAATTACATCCAATGCAATGTGCAAAAACATATCTTAAAATATACATTAAGATTAAATCAATGTTTGTTGTGTTCTGCGGTTCTGATTGGTCCACGTCTCAACCTGTCAGCCAATAGAGACCCTGTATCTGTGAGCCATCATCATGTTGCATGTTGCTGTCCRTTTCCAGGAGCGGCCCCATTGATAATAGCATAAGAAGCAGCTCATCAAAGCCCCCCGCAGCACCAGAAACATTACCCCCACCACCCAACAGGTACTGCAGCACAATGAGCGGAGGGAGGGAGGGTCGTTTTCTGCTTTGCCGCCCCATTTTCTCCACTCATCTCATGACATGTAGCACTGCAGCAGCAGTCCTCCAATCTGCCTGGAATTTGAATCGAGTCAAAGGAAGGTTGAGTCAAGGAGAAACACAAAAACTTTCATAGTGTACATTTACAGATGCTGCTGCGATTGTGTTAAATATTAAGAAGTAAAGAAACAGTGCTGTTTACTTTTCATTTATTGTATTACAAATGGAATTAAAGAAAACCAGTGGAAACCAGAAGGCAAACAGAGAACTGACCTGCTGTGATGTCAGCGCTGAGCTTTGGTTCTGCTTGTGTTTGTTGGTTGTTTCCCCTCCTGCAGGTCTGTCAGTGGGAAGAAGCTGTGCTCCAGCTGTGGGCAGCCTTTAGGGAAGGGAGCGGCCATGATCATAGAGACCCTCAGCCTCTACTTCCACATCCACTGCTTCAAGGTTGGTGCCGAATGAGTGCTGTTTGTGTGAACGCTTCACAAACATTCACAGTTGAGATCACTTTTTTTTTACTTCCGTGTATTTGTTTGGAACTTACTTTTTCCTCAGTTTTTGTGCCATTAATTCATTTATGATATATCATATATTCATTTATTCTATATATATTTTATTCATATATCAAAAGGTTCAGCTCCTGGTGAACATTTTCAGCAGCCTTAAAAGGCTTCAAAATGTTTATAAATCTTTTAAAATTTTGTTCTGGTTCAGCACTTTTTAACTTCGTTATTCTATATTTAGCCTTTTTTGCTAATGTTAGCCCTTTTCTGCTATTTCTTGCCAAAATTCAACTTTTTTCTGCTTCTTCAATTGAACTTTTTTGTGCTTTCAGCTTCTCTTTTCTTCTCTTTTTAATTTGAGCTTTTTGTGATGTTTTTCAGTTGCTTTTGCTTATTTCAGCTGTTTGCTGCAGTTTTAGCTGCTGTTCAGCTGTTATTAGCTAAAATTAGTGAATTTCAGCTTCTTTCTGCTGAGTTCTGCAAACATGTGATACCTCCTGCTTCTTTAAATTCATCATTTTCAGCTACGTTTTATCTGTTTCGTTGCACATTTTGACTGTTATCTATTTTACAACAGATTGCCGCTATTTTTTTTCTGTAAATTTAGCTTTTTTTTTTTACTTTTCGCCATCTATGCTTGTGCTTCTTTCGCATTTTAAATGAATTTAGCTGAAAGCTAAAGTTTAACGCTAATTCACGCTAACGTTTTCACAGGAAATGCAGTCTCTCTCGTTACAAACAGGAAATGATTCCCAGTTTTAATCCAGCTGAAGTTTTAATAGTTGCCATTTGGTATTAGCTGATGTTAGATACACTTAGTTATTAAAATTGATTTAGTTTCCTTACGTTTGAGGACCTTATCGCTGCACATTTGTTGCACACAGAAGCTGAACTTGCCTCCTCAGTTAATGGGTTAAAACCCACAGCTTTATATTTGGAGTTAATCGAGTCGTGCGTGTTAGTTTTTACTCTTCAGCTTGTCTAGCAGATGTCATATTTTAAGATTTACTCTCCTGACCCTGCTGTCTCTGTCCCTCAGTGTGGGGTGTGTAAGGGACAGTTAGGAGACACAACCACAGGGACGGACGTCCGGATCAGAAACGGCCTCCTGAACTGTAACCAGTGCTACATCCGCTCCCGCTGTGAGTCCGCTACATSCTCCCTCCTTTACAGCTCCTGCCTCTGGTTCTTCACATGTTCCCTGTTCACATTTCAGGTTTTGTCTTTCTGTACGTTTATTCTGACTGAATGTTGTTTCCCTCCGTTCCTTTGGTTTTTCACTAAGAACGTTTATCGGTCATTACGATCTTCCCAGTTGTAGTTTTCAGTTTTCCACGGTCGGCTCCAGTTCAGTTTGTTACGCCACATTTCCTGCTGTGTTTTTTTGTTTCTTTATTAAACCAGAGATGTGGGGATAAAGGGATAAAAGCTTCTGAGAATGCCTTCTGACTGAGCTGGAAACAGAGCTTCAAAGTCTCCATAGACTTAAATATAAAGATCACTAGACTGAGCCCCGCCCATACCGTACACTGGTAGCCTCTGTGACAGCATGGAGGAGCAAAAATGGCGTCTAAAAGGGCAACAGCTCACAGCCTCCATAGAAACTAATAGATAAACAACAAGCTGAACTGGATCTGTTTCACAGATTATCGGTCATGTTTCAATCAATTAATAATTATGTTAATTTCATTCAATAATCATGTAAAACAGCAGATTTATACCAGAGAAATATATAATTTATAAGTAACAATGATCTAAACCAGACCTGAAGTCAGCCTGTAACTTA